GAGAAAAAGCAAACAAGTCTTTAGTTGTTTTTATTTTTCAAACTGCTTTCCTGATGTACAATTTAAATATCACAAACTTTACCCTTTTCTTTTTGTTTGATTTTGGGCCACACTCGTACCACTCCTATCAGGGCTTGGGACACCACCTGTGGTGCCATAGATCAGAGGTCAACCATATGCACAGCAAGCACCTTACCTGCTATAAAATCTCTATGGACCCAACTTTATCTTTTAAAGTTTATCATTCAGTTTTGAGGGTGTTTTTGGGCTACACCCATCTATGTTCAGGTGTCTCTCCTAATAGTACTTGGGGGAACATTTTCTGTGCCAGAGATCAAATGAGGGAACATTTCAGTGCCCTCATGTTCCTGCCCCGTTTACTTTTTTATTTTTGCAATTAAAAAATCAAGTTTTGAGGGGCGGAGAGGTAGTATAGCAGGTAAGGCATTTATCTTGCACATGACCAATCTGGGTTTGACCCCCAGCATTCCCTGAGCACCACTAGGAGTAACTCCTGAGTGCAGAGCCAGGAGTAACCCCTGAGAATTGCTAAATGTGGCCCAAAAATCAAAACTAAAAAATTAATTTATGGGTGCTAGAGCATTATTGCAGCAGGTAGGGCAGTTGCGTTGCATGTAACCCATACAGGTTCGACTCCTGGCATCACATTTGGTCCCTAGCCACCACCAGGAGTGATCTCTGAGTGCAGAGCTAGAAGTTAACCCTGAACATCACTGGGTGTGCCCCACCCAGTGATTATGTTTTATTCCCTGACATTCTTCCCTTTACCATTCATTTGTGTTGATGATTTTGTCATGTCTACTGGTGGTTGCACACATGCCTGCCTCTGGTCTCACAGTTTTAGCTGTGCTACTTGCTGGGGGTTACACATCAGGCTGTACTTGCACACTTGACTGTGGTGCTCACTGAGGTTATCCCTCCATTAGTTGCTATACTTGCACATGTGTTTGCTGGGAGTTGCACTTAGTGGAGGCCCAAAAATTCTGGTGGTTTTACTCACTAGAGGTTACTTCAGTGCTCACATACATGCTAGCTTTCTCACTTCCTGATTATGATATATATATATATATATAATATATATATAGACCTGGAGCGATAGCACAGTGGTAGGGCGTTTGCCTTACACGCGGCCAACATGGCCGACCCGAGTTCGATTCCTCCGCCCCTCTCGGAGAGGGTTATGGACTTAGTTATGTAAAAGAAAGAATAGCAGCATATCAATAAGGTGGGTCTTTCTTTTTAGGAATTTAGGACCACTCCTGGTAGTTTTCAGGGCCTTTCTCTGGATCTTTGCTCAGGAGTCACTCTTGGTGGTCCTTGGGAGACTATAAATAGAGCTAGGGATTCAATCAGGGCTGGTAGATTCAAGGCAAGTGCCCTAACCATTGTACTATCTCTCTAGGCCAGGGTGGATCTTTCTGCAACATATGAAGAGCGCCAAGGAGGAAAGCAATTAATGTGTGGTAGGCAGAATGTGTTTACAATAAAAAATAACCCCATTAAAAAACAGGGAGAAGAGATAAATAGAAACTTCCTTTAAAAAGACATACAGATGGCCAAAAGGCATATGAAAAAATGCTCTGCATCACTTATCAGGGAAATGCAAGTCAAAACAACAATGAAAATATCATCTCACATAAGTGTCATAAGCATTACTGCAAAGAACAAAAACAACCAGTGTTGACAGGGAGGTGGGGAAAAAGGGACCCTCCTTCGCTGCTGGTGGGAAAGTTGTTGACTGATCTAGCCATTTTAGAAAACAATATGAATAGTTCTCAAGAAACTAAATGGAATCAAGCTTCCATATCACCCAGCAGTTTCACTTCTGTGCAACCACCCCAGTAACCCCAAAAACTATTCTGAAAAGACATCGTGCTCCTCTGTTGCTTGCAGCACTATTCATAATAACCCAAATCTGGAGTTGGAGAGATAATATGGCAGGTAGGGCATTTGCCTTGCACACAGCTGACCCAGGTTTGATCCCCAGCATTGAAATCCCAGGTTCAGGTCCCCTGAACACTGCCAGGAGTGATTCCTGAGTGCCAAACAGGAATAAGCCCTTAGAACTGCTGGGTGAGTCCCCAAAACCAACCAACCAAAAAAAAAACAAACAAAAAAGCATAATAGCCAAGATCTGGAAACAACCCAAGTGTCCAAGAATAGATGACTGAATAAAGCAGCCGTGGTACATATACGCAATGGAATACAACTTCATAAGAAAAGATGAAGTCACGCAATTTGTTGCTACTTGGATCTGTAGCATATCATGTTGAGCAAGTGAAATCAGTCAAAAGGAGAGAGAGAATGATCTTTCTTTGAGGTGAGATAAAAAAAAAACATGTAGGGAAATGTAGGGAAAGGCAACAGAAACTAAGAACTGGTCTTCAGTAGGAAGCTTACCAGAGGATGGGGGATGATCAGCTGAAAGGGGTCTGGACCTGGGACAGTGATGGAGGCGAGTGGGTCGCTGGAATGGGTTATGTATAGAATACTATTATTAATTATATTGTGAACCACAGTACCTAAAATAAAAACACACAGAATTTACTTGGTATATGCCTTTAACTCATTTAATCTATGGAAAGTTCATTCTAACATTTAAATAATTAAAATAGTATTTTAAGTTATTTCATGGGGGAGAAAGGATGAGTGAAGTGATATCTTAATTTACTTTTCCAAGTCTATTTTTGCTCATGTTATGTCTTAGATGTGGCTCTTTCATGAAAGGCAAATACCTTAGCCCCTGTTCTATCTGTTTAACCCAGAAACTGATATTCTGTAGACTAGTAGGGGCAGTTGAGAAAGTGAGCATGAACTATATCCTACAAGATCTTACAAGCTATTTCAAGGTACTTCAAGTGTGTCATGTGGGGAATCTTTGAAGATGTTAAGGAGAAAAGTAACTTAATTACACATGTGGTATTTCAGTGGTACTGATTTTAAAACAGACCAGGCACATGGCTCAGTGCTGACCTTGCATGCATCAAGTCCTGGATTCAATCTCTGGTGCTAAAAAGAAACAAAATAAAGAGATACCATTTGGTAGTGTAGTAATTTTGGTGAGATAGCTGCAGGAACTTGAACTAGAGATTAGTAGACACGTTGAGTTTGGGGGGCTGAGGAAGAAACAGAGTTTCACTTATGGTTCTGTTCAATAAACTAAAGGAAGGTTAAGAGCAAGGAGATTTGGTGGGGATGTGTTTGTTTCAGATTTGCTGAGTTTGGGTATGTACGTGAACCTTATGGGACTTCTTCCACACCTTGTGGAAGTCAGGAGAGACACCTTGATTTAAGAGAAAACTTTGGAAATAATCATTAACTGGATAATTACTAAAGATATAAAAATAGATGAGATTAATATAAAGCAGCCAGTAGGCTGGGAAAAGCCCAAGAGAGTTTTGGCGTCTCCGAAGCTAAGTAGTAGAAAGTAGTAAACAGGAACAAAAGAGTAGCTAAGATTATTCAGAAAATATATGAAAAGAGAAAGCCTAAGACTAGAACCTAGCTTTTAAGTGACAGAGCAAGAGATCTGCCATGGTGATAGGATGTGGGGAGCACTTTATTTATTTTTTAATAGATTTTTTAAATTGAGGGGCTGGAATGAGAGCACGGCGGGTAGGGCGTTTGCCTTGCACGTGGCCCGACCCGGGTTCGATCCCCAGCATCCCATATGGTCCCCCGAGCACGGCCAGGTGTAATTCCTGAGTGCATGAACCAGGAGTAACCCTTGTGCATCCCTAGGTGTGACCCAAAAAGCAAAAAAAAAATAGATTTTTAAAATTGAGTCACTATGAGATAGACCCTTACAAAACTATTCATAATTAGGTTTCAGTCATATAGTGTTCCAACACTCATCCCTCCATCAGTGTACATTTCCCAGCACCAGTGTCCCCAATTTCTCTCCCATCACTCCCACCTCCTCCACTTCTCTCTCTCAATCTCTCTCTCTCTCTCTCTCTCTCTCTCTCTCTCTCTCTCTCTCCTTTTGGGCATTTACTGCATTTACAATACAGATTCTAAAACATTATCATGTGTATCCTTTTCCTACTTTTAACACTCAATTCTTGTCCAACGTGATCATTTCCAACTCTTATTGTCATATGAGCTCCTTTTCTATCTTACCTACCTTTTCCCCCCACACACTTGTGGTAGATTTCAATCATTGACCATATTCTATTTGGGATGTTAGCCTTCTAGTATTTTTATATATACCACGAATAAATGCAGTCATTCTGTGTCTGTCCCTCTCCTTCTGACTCATTTCACTCAGTATGATACTCTCCATGTCCATCCATTTATAGGTAAATCTCATGACTTCATTTTTTCTTAACAGCTGTGTAGTATTACATTGTGTGGATGTGCCATAGTTTCTTTAACCATTCGTCTGTTCTCAGACACATCAGAAACATTGTAGGCTTCAGAAATCAGAAATGGAGGGGTTGTTGGCATCATTTACACAAGGTATGATTTTTGTACTCAGGGGTCTGTTGGATGTAATAATAATGAGCTGACTGTCTCAATTACTTTAACCAGCACAGTTTAAGTGGAAGGCAGATTAGAACCCCTTGAGGAGTAAATAAGTGGTCCAGAAGCAAAGAGTTTCAGATAAAGATGATGTCTTCTAGAGGTTTAGCTGTGAAAAAAATGAAAGCGTGGTTCCTGGAGTGTGACATAAACTCAAAGAAAGTTAAACTTAAAAAAATATATAAGTTCTTTGGTTATCTTACCTTTCAGAAATGTGATTTCCTATTTTAGTATTATGTTTTAGTATTATGTTTTCTTGATTTCATTTAATTTTGAGATGATGGGGCAAGACTTGAAAATATACTATAATCTAACTTTTGCATAGCATAGTTAATCCTTTGCATGCAGTAAGAAATAACTTTACTATCATAATTAAGTAGATTTCTCTATAATTTTTGAGTTTGTAGATAATGCAACCTCATTGTAATTTACTGTATCTTCTGTTTGTTTTTTAGGTCATTCATCGAGACATAAAGCCGGAGAATATCTTAGTATCCCAATTAGGAATTACTAAGCTCTGTGATTTTGGTTTTGCACGAACACTGGCAGCTCCTGGGGACATTTATACGGACTATGTGGCCACACGCTGGTATAGAGCTCCAGAATTAGTCTTAAAAGATACCTCTTATGGAAAGTATGTATATTTTTGGATTCTGCCTGGCCTTTCCTTGTCAATTCTTTTTTTAACCCCCTTGATACATCTATCATTCCTGTTGCTGATACCTTCTACCTCTTTGTCTGGGTCTGGACTAAGAAAGCACACCTTTAAATAGAACAGAGAGACCTACAGTCCTTTCTTTGCCTTGCCTGCTGCTGAAGCTGCACTGCTTGATTTCAGGGACCAGGAGGCCAGTCAGGACACCCACAGCTAACCCTCGGGATGGACCCATGCTCATTTTGAGCAGGGCCCTACCCTTGGTAGAGTAGCCTCCTACTACTATAGTCTGCAAAGAGGTGTGTGTGTGTGTGTGTTAATATATTTGGTAGGAGGACCCACATATGGCTGTGCTCAGAGGATAGACGTGGCTCTGTGCAAGGGGGTTATTCCTGGTGGTGCTTATGGGACCTTGGGGTGCAGGAACAGCTGCGTGCAAGACTTTAACTCCTGGGACTCTCTGGCCCCTGCAAAAAAATTAAGAATATTTAAATTTACCTCACTCTGCCAGTGTTATCACAGGAACTGCACGTTTTGTAATACCTGGAATATAGTAGCCTCTTTGCAAAGACTGCCAGATGTTAATTTTTAAATTGTCCTCTTCTAGTTGCCTTGAAGATAGCAAGGTCTCATCTATTGTGAATAAAAGCAGTATGTAAAATAGCAAGCTAATATGTGGTTAGTCTTGAAAAGTGAAAAGAAGACTAAGTTTTACAAGTTAATAGAAATGGGAGGGGCTTTATTCTTTTAACACCTCTGAGAATTCATTATTTTGTGGAGCTGAAGAACGCAGAGGTGTTAAGGTGCTTGCCTTCCTTGTGGCTGGCAATGCATATGGTCCCCTGAGCACAGAGCAGAGTAGCGCTAAGCATCATGGGGTGTAGCCCAGATGCCAAAAAGAAAAGAAATATGCTGGAGAGAGACATACAGCAGGTAGGGTGTTTGCCTGGCATGTGACCTCTGACCTGAGTTTAATCCCTGGCATCCCAAATAGATTCCTGAGAAGAAATCATAGTCTAATAAGCAGGAGTATGAGTAGGATTAAAAGTGATATGGGACCAGAAAGTACAGAGAGTACTTGTGCAACTTGTATCCTGTTGACCCTGATTTGGTCCCTGGCACTATATACAGTCCTTCAAGCACTGCGAGAAGCAACAAGAGCACAGAGCCAGGTTACCCCAGAGCACATCCCAGTGTGGCAAAAAAGGGGGGTGTGTGCTAAAGGACTGGAACACACTGTTCATTCCCTGATACATCATTCCCCAAATTCCCTGGTACCTCATTATCCCCCAAGTGCCTCCAAGAATGACTCCCAAACACTAAACCAGGAGTAGCACCAAAGCACTACCAATTGAGACCTAAAAACAAAAGTGCCATTTTGGGGCTGAGGAGAAAGCTCAAAGATCTGGAGAACATGCTTTGAGTGTAGGAGCACTGGGTTTGTTCCCCAGTACCTGAAAGTCTCCTGAACATCTCTGCTGGCTATGGCCCCAAACAAGCGACCAGAGGAAACCATATGGAACACTAGGTATTGAATTCTGGTAGGCCGGCCCCATACAAAAATGTTTTAAATCACTATGACTAAAATATTATTTTTTCTGGGTTTTTGGACCACACCTGGCTGTGCTCAGGGCTTACTCCTGGCTCTGTGATTGGGGATCGCTCCTGGCAGGCTTGGACACCAGGGACCAAACCTCGGCTGGCTGCAGGCAATGTAAGCACCTACCCAGTGTACCATCACTCTGGCCCACTAAAATAAAAAAAAAATAAATAAAAGAATAGCTAACATTTATTGAGCATTAGCTATATTTTAATTTTTTAATAAATTAAGTCATTTAATATATAAACAAAAGTTTACAGAATTTTTATTTCCATTTTATAAAAGATGAATTAATTGAAGACTAGAGATAGACTCCTAATGGCCTCAGTGGCAAGCACAGTTGAAAGTTATTCTGAAGAGACTGAACAAATTATTTAGTTTTCTGTGTCTTAGTGTCATCTTATTTAAAATGTGGATATTATGTAAGATAATAGAAACAACTTTATCATTGGATTGTTGAAAAAATGCAGAATTTAATGAATCTAAGGCACTTAGAACAATTGCTGGCATAAAACTGGCATTAGCATCTTAGTTAAGTATTAAAATAGCAAAATAATGGTTCTTCTATTTTTTTTTCTTTTTGGGTGACACCCACCCACTGATGCTCACAGGTGACTCCTGGCTGTACACTCAAGAATTACAAGAACCCCCCATAATGTCAGATTTTGGGGGAACCCTCAAAGATAAGTGCTGCTTGGGGCTGGAGCAATAGCACAGTGGGTAGGGCATTTGCCTTGCACGTGACTGACCCAGGTTCGATTCCCAACATCCCATATGGTCCCCTGAGCACCGCCAGAGGTAATTCCTGAGTGCAGAGCCAGTAGTAACCCCTGTGCATCGCCGAGTGTGACCCAAAAAGCAAAAATAAAAAAAAATAAGTACTGCAAAAAACAATAAATAAACTGCATGTATTCTCTCCCTTCCAAGCTAATTCTTTACATTTTTTAAAAATTGAATCACCATGAGATACAGTTACAAAGCTTTCATGTTTGAGTTTCAGTCATGCAATGATCAAGCAACCATCCCTCCACCACTGCACATCTTCCACCACCAATGTCCCCAGTATCCCCTCCCCCACCCATCCTCCTGCCTCTCTGGCAGACAATCTTTCCCATACTCTCTTTTATATTGTTTGTTATGAATAGCATAATTAGGGTCTGGGGAAATCTCTGCAGTGAGCTGCTCGGTTCCGAGATTCTTTTGTGTGTCTCTGGATCATGGCTGTTAAGGAGCTTAAGTAGCAGCCAGATGCAGTTTGCGGGCTTTACCTCCAGGGTGGCATGGGGATGGAGGGGATGAGAAGGACCAGCCCAACCCCTATCCCTTGAGGCCTGGAATTTGCTGTCACTGAATCTGGTAGGTGGCCGCCCACCTACCAGATGGTCAGACTTCTTCATCAAGATCATGAACGATCGGTTTGAGGCCCTTCATGTTCCCGGAGCGAACAGATGCCATTGGGCTACACTAGCACGAGACAGGGACAAATGGAGACGTTACTGGCGCCCGCTCGAGCAAATTGCCGACTAACGGGAAGTTAAGTGATTAAGTAAGTGTGAACCTGCATATCTGCGCTTCTCATTGTGTTCTGGAAGTTGATGGCCACCGGGATTCTTAGGGGGCAGGTGGAAGGAAGACACCTGCTCCAATTTGAGGCACCCCAGTGAAATCAGCCTGGCTTAAAGTCCAGAGGCATCTCTGCAGTGAACTACTTGATTCCGAGCTTCTTTTGTGTGTCCAATTATATACATTTTTGCAGCAGTTTCTTACCTGTGCTGGTAAGAAACTGCTGGAAATAAACTGGTTGATATAGGAATATTTTTAGTGGCTATGTGGGCACAGATGAGAGAAATTTCTTACTGTATGAAGTATGCTTAGCAAGAATATACTTAGTGTGGAGAGATAGCACAGTCAATAAGGTGTTTGCCTTCTATGCAGCCTACCCTAGTCAGTTCCTGGCACCAGATAATGATCCTCTGGGCACCTCAGAGCTTTGTATGTAAAGCATGCATGCTAACCCTGTACATGATCTCCTTGGTCCCTCATGGTTCACGTTTTTGTATTGTTGGGAAGGGAACACGAATTGAACACAGGTCCATTTGTATAAGGCATGGGTGCAGCTACAGGGCCAAATCTCTGGGCCCTAGGGTTCACTCTTTGTATTGATGTACTATTGGTTTTGGAAAGAATATAACGTCATATATTCACCATTACAGTATGGTACAAAACAGTTTCTCAGTCCTAACAGTTATCTGTGCTTTATCATCTTATCCTTCCTTTCTTCTCAAACTTCTGGCAACCAATGATAGTTTTTTTCTCTATACTATACGTGTGGGACTGGAGCCTTAGCACAGTGGGTAGGGCGTTTCCCTTTCACATGGCTAACCTGGGTTCTATTCCTACACCCCTCTTGGAGCGTTTGTCAAGCTACCGTGAGTGTCCTGCCCGCACGGCAGAGTCTGGCAAGCTCCCTGTGGCATATTTGATATGCCAAAAACAATAACAACAAGTCTCACAATGGAGTCGTTACTGGTGCCCATTCAAGCACATCGATGAACAATGGGAGGACAGTACAATGCAGTGCAGTGCTAATATATGTGTGTATATGTGTGTATATATATATGTATATATGTGTGTGTATGATCTTTTAAACTATTAGTATGTGACCACATGGGATGCCAGGGTTCGAACCTGGGTTGACTGCATGCAAGGCAAATGCTCTACCCTCTGTACTATCTCTCCAGCCCCTTTATTTTATATATTATGTATTAAAGCACTGTAGCACTGTCCTCCTGTTGTTCATTGATTTGCTCGAGCGGGCACCAGTAACGTCTCACAACAAATTGTGAGATTTGTTACTGTTTTTGGCATATAGAATACATCACGGGGAGCTTGCCAGGCTTTGCCATGCAGGTGAGATACTCTTGGTAGCTTGCTGGGTTTTTGGCATATCGAATACATCACGGGGAGCTTGCCAGGCTTTGCCATGCAGGCGAGATACTCTTGGTAGCTTGCTGGGCTCTCTGAGAGGGACAAAGGAATCAAACCCGGGTCGGCCGCTAACAAGGCAAACATCCTACTTGCTGTGCTATCGCTCCAGTCCATTATATATTATATACAATATTTATGGGCTGCAGCGATAGAACAGCGGGTAGGGCATTTACCTTGCATATGGCCTTCCCGGCCGACCCGGGTTCGATTCCTCTGCCACTCTCGGAGGGCCCGGCAAGCTACCAAGAGTATCTTGCCCGCAGGGCAAAGCCTGGCAAGCTACCTGTGATGTATTTGATATGCCAAACACAATAACTAGTATCACAGTGGAGATGTTACTGGGCCCACTCAAGCAAATCAATGAACAATGGGAGGACAGTGACAGTGATATTATTTATATTTATTAATATTTTGATATGCAATTCCTGGATCCCCTTTGAGGATGAGCACTTTTTCATAAGTTTATTTTCAGTCCAGAGAAGTCCATGAAGATATTCTTGGTTTTGGTATATATTTACATATTTTGCCAATTTTTAATAGTTTCATTGTTTAGTCTCTTATTTCCATTGAACCGCCATGAGATAGAGCATCACAATGCTATTCATGATTGAGTTTCATCATACAATGTTCCAACACCCATCCCTCCTGTAATGTACATTTCCCACCACCAATGTCCCAGGTTTCCTTCCCACAACCCCCTACCACCACCACCCCTCCCCCCTGCCTTCCTCTATGGCAAGTACCTTTCTTCTTTCTCTCACTCTCCTTTTGTGCATTATGGTTTGCAGTATAGGTACCAAGAGGTCATCGTGTTTGTTCAGGCATTCAGTATTTTTATTGGCACGGTACAGCTGGAGGAGCCTTTTTTTTTTAACTGGGTGGCAGCTTTGGGGTGTTTATGTGATTGCCAAGGTTTCCAGAGATGGGGAGGTGTGGAGAGATAGCCCATCCTCTCCGAGAAAGCCTGGACATTTCAGTCACAAAACTTGCATACCTGAATTTTCAGCAGGTTAATATCTCGGTGAGGTCTGCCCTGAGATGGTGGAGTCTGGCCAGGGACAAAGCAGCCATTTTGGATTGGGGCAGCAAGTGGCTGCCGGGGTCTCAAGCCAGAACTGGGCTAACCCGCCCCACTCTGATGTACCCTGGTTTATTTAGCCATGTGCGGGTCTGAGATTAACTGCAACTCTTTGATCTCTTTTGAGATTTATTTATGGGCCTTTGAAGCAAGGACAATAAATGAGCTTGCATGGCTGTTCTGGAGGTGGTTAGGGGTGGCTCCCACATTCCTAACTTTCGGCAGTTTAATTTATTGGGAAACTTTTTCCTGAGGTGTTGGACATTTGGGAGTATCAGGAAGCCTGAAGGCATCATTAAGCTGCTGATGGTGCCCTGCAGGTACAGGTTAGTCTGGCGGCACCATACCCCTGGGCCCCAAGGGCATAGCAGCAGCAAACCCAGCAGGGGCCAGGACTGGAACCAGGGGTCCTACCATGGTGACCTGGGAAGGCTGGGTAGGATGCAGCCGCCAGTCCAGCAGAGCCTGACCAGGGGGCACACCCCAGTCCTGGCTCTCCAGACACTTGGTGCTCAGGGAGGTTTTCCTCCATAATATGCTGTGGGTGATGTGGGCTCGTCTGGGGAAGAAATGGAGCCAAGGCCGCCCTTCTGGTGGTGAATCCCCAGGGCTCCATGGTGGGAACCCGAGGCACCCCCTCAATTCCAGGACCCACTTTCTCAGTGGTGCCGAGTTGGACCTGAAGAGCCCTAATTCCGACGTGTTAAAATAGAGACCTCTGTCAACGCCCATAGCACTGAGAGCTGTGGTAACTCCGCCCATGGTGCACCGCCCCTGTCCCACTTTGGGCCTGGGCTCCGCCGGGCGACCTGATGGTTTCCTTTAATGGTGCTCTCCCTGAGGCAGAATAGGCAACGGGCACCCACATTGACTAAGGCAGAAATTCTAAGACCCCGTTGGCTGTTCAGAATGCTGAGAGCTATCTGAGCTACCTCTGCAGCTCTGAACTCATTGTTTAATTTTAAGAGTGCTTTGTATATTTAGGATGCAAGTCATTTATCAGGTAGCGTATTTTTACAATTTTTTTCTCCAAATTTAGGACTTGGCTTTTCCTTTCTTTATCTCCCCACTTTCTTTCTTTCTTTTTTTTCACCTGGAGGTGCTCAGGGACTTCCTGGCTTGCTGCTCAACGCACCATATGTGGTGGAAGGAAACAAAATAGGATTGACTACATTCAAGCCCAGTATTTTACCTACTGTACTATCTCTCTGGCCCATATTCTTATGTTGTTTAAGTTTTTTGAAGGTGGGGAACTTTGGATCACATCCAGTGGTGCTCAAAATTTATTCTTGGTTCTATGCTCAGAGAACACTCCTGGTGGGGCTTGAGGGACATGTACAGTACTAAGGATTGAACTTTGATTGCTCGCAGGCAAGGCAAGCACCTTCCCCCTATACTACCTCTCCAGCCTCTCATACTCTTTTTTTTTTTAAGCTGTGTTGCTCTCTGAGTTTTGTACTCCTTTAGTTGTGATGCTTGCTTTGTGCTAAAGGGAACCATATGTGGTACTGGAAATCAAACCAAGATTGGCTGCATGCACGATAAGCACTTTACCCAGTACACTGGTTCTTCAGCTCCTGTGATCCATTTTGAGTTATTTTTTTAAAAAATCAGACCTATGTCTAATGTCAATGTTTTTCCATACATATGGTGTATGTTGCACATGTATGTTCTAGTGTCACCAGTTGAAAACATGTTCCTTTGTCTACTGAATAGCCTTTATCCTTTTGTCAAAGATCAGTTGAGTATACTTATATATTTATGAACTCTGTTGTCTTGCTCTATTTGTTTCTTCTTTCTCCAAAGCCATACCATCTTGATTTCTGTAGTTTCAACATATGTACTTGGGGGGACTCACACCTGGTGTTGCTCAGGGGATACTCCCCCAGCAGTGAACCATGTGCACAGAGCTGGGAGTCAGCCCTAGTTCCTCCAAGTGTGACCCAGAAACATTAAAAATAATTAAAAATTTCACTTATATAAGCTATTCCTTGAAAAGCCGATTATGTGTGGAGAAAATTTTAATTATGGGTGACTCATAATAGGTTAAGATAAACATATAAAATTTAAGTGGTAAAACATTTGAGTTTTTTGACTTTGTAAGTACAGATTTTAATAACTATTCTAATTAGTAAACCATTAATGATAATTATATAAAAGTATATGAATCATTTAAAAATAATTCTTTTTTCTTAACTACTGAATGGCTTCTCATTAACTTAAACTTAATGTTGTTAATAAAAGATGATAGTTTTTAATAAGCATCCTAAGTTTGGCATATGATATAGTGAAATTTATAAATGATGCCACTTGCCCATTCATTTTTGTTTTGCCCTTAACTTATTTATTTTGGTTTGGGAGTTAAATACAACAGTGCTCAAGGACTAGTCCTGGCTACTCAGAGGTCACTCCTGGTGGTTCACTGAAAACCATGCAGTGTTGGGGTTGAATCTGTGCATCCCACATGTAAAGCCTGCACATAGCCCTTTGATTTATCTCCTCAACACCTTTGCCTTTATTTAAAACATTTTTAGCAGGAGTTAACTCAATGGACTGGAGCACATGTCTGGCATTTAGAGATGCTCAGTGAGATTTCCAATATGGCATGGTTCTTTGGTCTCTCTGCATCTTATCACCCAGCATGGGAGATCCCCCCAAAAAAGTTTTTAGGGAATACATTTTACATAATTCTTCATTAAAAGAAAATTTGTTTTTGTTTATGTCAGACCTGTAGATATCTGGGCTTTGGGCTGCATGATCATTGAGATGGCCACTGGAAGTCCCTATCTTCCTTGCAGCTCTGATTTGGACTTACTTTATAAAATTGTTTTAAAAGTAGGTAAGTATTACTTAAATGTACTGTAAAATGCCTAAAATAAATATAGACAGATAAATTATGCTTGGTTTTAAGATTTAGTTAATTCTTTGTAGGAATTGGGAAACATATTGTTTTGGTAGATGGCAGCAGATGGAAGCCTTGGGCTGATAAAGAAAGTAGAATATTCTCCCCTGTCTTTACAAATAATATTTTCTTTGCCAGGATGCAAATAGCTAAGCCATATGTTGATGGTTGGTGCTAAGAAAAATAGTATAATAGAAAACTACTTCAGTTTGTCTGAAAGTTGCTTTTGATCTTGGTTTCTACAAATACTTGTACCTCTGAAAGAGGATTTCCAATAATAAAACATATAAATGCTTTTTAAAATTAATTAGAAATATAAAATCAGTTATTTATGAGTAAAACTGTTATTACATACATACATTACATAGCATGATAGCTAAATAATATTTAAAATACATTTGATGAGAGCTGAAATATTTAGTGATCTGCTTTGAGTATGTTTTGTTTTTGTTTTGGGCCACACCCAGTAGTGCTCAGGACTTACTCCTGGCTCTGCATTGAGGGAGCACTCTTGGCAGGCTTGGGTGAACCATATGTAGTGCCAGAGATCAAACCTGTGTGAGCCACTTGCAAGACTGAAATTCTACCTGCTGTACTGTCTCTCTGGCTCCACTGAATTTAATAACAGCTTTGATGACTGGGGACTGAGTGCGAGTTGAGATGTGGTGTGTACCTGGAGGTGCACATTACGGTGCTCACACTCTGAATTGCAGTGTTCATCAGGGGTCATGCTCTTTTGGTTTCAGTGATTGCACCTGCACTTTCTAAGGGTTGCACACTTTAGTTATGCTATTTAAGCACATTCTGTTGCATACTCATTATGGGGGGTTGCATACCTGTTGGTACTTAGGACTAACTCTTGGTCTGTTCTCTGGGGTTTCTCCTGGAAGTACCTATGGGACCATATGTGGTACCAGGGACTGAAGTAGTCATCTGCATGCAAGACAAGTGCTTTACCTCCTATACAATCTCTCTGGTTCCATTTTTTTGTTCGTTTGTTTGTTTGGTATTTTGAAAGGGCACACCCAGCTGTGCTCAGGGGTTACTCCTGTCTCTGCACTCAGGAATTACTCCTGGTGGTGCTTTGGGGACCATATGGGGTGCCAGGAGTTGAACCCGGGTCAGTCATGTGCAAGGCAAGTGCCTTACCCACTGTATAATCTCTCCAGCACTCCCATTTATTTATTTTATTTTATTTTTGTTTTTGAAACACCGAAGTGCTAAGGGAATACTCCAAGCTCTGTCCTCAGGGATCACTCCTGACAGTGCTCAGGGGATGGTGCAGAGCCAGGGATCAAAGCAAAATCTTCATGCCCCTTGAGGTATCTCTCCAGCCTGTTGAGATATGAGAGGGCCTGTTAGTGCTCTCATATACTTACCTGGCTACCGTGCTTGTGGTTGTGGGTCTCTCAGACAGCAGAGCTGCCAGTATTATGCCAGGTATAAGTGGTAGTCCCAGGGATTCAACTCATGGCATCTTGGTTATGGGGCAGGTGCGTTAGCTTCTGAGCCACCTACCAGACATCCAATGACTCAAATTCTTTTTCATATGCAATTCTGAATGAGGAGCTTAAGGAGCCCTTTTCATGGCGAGAAAGCTATTTATAAAACATGTGGTTATAGGATCATAAGAAGTACAACAAACAGCTTAAAAAGTGAAATATGAAATAGATAGATAGTACAGGCTAGGGCACTTGCCTTGCACATGGCCAACCCCAGTTCAAATCTCCCAGTACCACAGATGGTCCCTTGAACACTGGAAATTATCCCTGAGCACAGAACCAGCAGTAAGCACTGAGCACTGTTGAATGTAGCACCCCCCATCAAAAAATAAAATAAAACAAAAAATCCCGTGTGAATTATGGATATAGCACTGTAGCACTGTCCTCCCGTTGTTCATTGATTTACTAGAGCGGGCCCAGTAACACCTCCATTGTGAGACTTGTTATTACTGTGTTTGGCATATCGAATACGTCATGGGGAGCTTTCCAGGCTTTGCCGTGCGGGCGATAAACTCTTGGTAGCTTGCCAGGCTCTCCAAGAGGGGCAGAGGAAACGAACCTGGGCCGACCGGTCGGCCACGTGCAAGGCAGATGCCTTACCCACTCTGTGCTCTCTCTCTCTATATATATGTGTGTGTGTGTGTGTGTGTGTGTGTGTGTGTGTATCAGAGAGCCTGGCAAGCTACCAAGAGTATCCCACCCGCATGGCAGAGCCTGGCAAGCTACCTGTGGCATATTCGATATGCCAAAAATTAACAACAAGTCTCACAATGGAGACATTACTGGTGTCCGCTTGAGCAAATCAATGAACAATTATATATGCATAATTATATACAATTACATTGTATATAAAATATATATACTATTATATATGCATGTCTATGACTATGTATGTATATATATACATATATATATAGTTGTGTGTTTATACAACCCAAAGGCTTAATGTATCACCTTTGGGTGTCATCTTTAAAGTTCTTGCTATAAAATGAATATTAATGGTATCACTAGTATAGCTCAGTGGTAGACCAATTGCTTTGTATGTGTGAGGCTCTGTGTTTGATCCCTGGCACTTAAATAAAACAAAAAAAATAATGTTTGGGGTAATAACTTTATTTATTTTTCTTTTTGGATCACACCTGGCAATGCTCAGGAGTTACTCCTGGCTCTGCACTCAGGAGTCACTCCTGGCGGTGCTCAGGGAACCATATGGGATGCTGGGAATCGAACCTGGGTCGGCCATGTGCAAGGCAAACGCCCTACCCCCTGTGCTATCGCTCCAGTCCCTGAGGTAATAACTTTTGAGATGATGCCATCATCTCTAAAGTTATTAGATTGATACCATCACTTTACAGAGGAATACTGAAAGGGAAGAGGTTTGCCCAAAGTAATAAAACTAAGGGCCAGAGTGATAGTAAAACAGGTATGGTGCTTGCCCTATATGTAGCCAATCTAAATTTCATTTCTGGCATTCTATATGGCATCCCCTTAGCACTGCCAGGAATAACCCCTGGGCATCACTGGGTGTGTGGCATCCCCTGTGCACTGCTAGGAGTGATCCCTGGGCATCACTGGGTGTGACTCAAACACAAAAACACAAAGTAATAGAAGTAGTTGTTGCCAAACTGGTACTCTCTAGATTCCTATTTAAATGACTTTTTGGGGTTTTTTTGTTTGTTTGGGGACCATACTGTCTGTGATCAGGGGTTATTCCTGGCTCTGCATTCATGGATCACTTCTTGAGGTGCTTGGGGGACCATGTGGGATGCCTGGGATTGAACCCAGATCAGCCATGTGCAAAGCAAACACCCTACCTACTGTACTATCTCTCCGGCCCCACTATTTAAAATTTTTATTCTTCTATTACTCCCTAACCTTGTTTCTTCTTTGGAATATTTGTTTCCAAATCACTTTAATACCTTAGCTGTTTTGCTTAAGATTTTGCTGCTGTACACATGCTAGGTAAAATGTTTAGCTACCCATATGGATATATGTACAACTTTGGATGTACTTTACCTGGTAGCATTATATATTACATCATTTTGGGAAAAGGTAATTATTCTATTTTTATTATTTATTTTTTAATTTAATTTTATTTTTATAAAGTTGTTCACGATGATTTATTATATTCAGTATTCCAACACCTATCCCACCACCATTATACATTCCCACCACCATCATTCCTAATTTTTCCAACCACCACTCAAGCCTGCCCCAATAGCAGGCCCTAAATATTTTGTATTGCTTGTTATGAATAACTTGCTAAAAATGATCAAAAAAGATTTCCTTAAAGAAAAGTGTGTAAAGATTGCTGTACCTCACCCTGGAGCCATTAAACCCTTGTATAAAAGATTGCTTGAGTCTTGTGTGCTAATATTTTCTTTTTTATATATAATTTTATTTATTGAATCACCATGAGAGCAGTTACAAAGCTTTCGGATTTAAGTCTTGGTCATAAAATGAAACACCCAAACCTTCACCAGTGTCCATTCGCTAATATTTTCTTAATCGAGATTGGTTGCCTTCTACTTTACATCCCATCCAATGTGGTGTGTTACTCCTGGTATGTCAGTGGCATAGATAGAATATGAGATGTTGCACGGCTGTGCACTCCAGGAATTCTAAACCTTTAAATGGAACGATACATCTGGAGTTAAATTTTTAACTAAATGGTGACTTTGGGGACTGGGGCTTCTCTGCCACTTTTTGATCTCTTCTGAGATTTATGAGTCTCTGGATTATGGCCAGGTAATGAGCTTATATAGCACTAGACGCAGTTTGTGGGCATGGGGGAAGGTCGCCCATCCATGACTCTGTGAGAGCCTGAAGATTCTGGTCACAAAACCCGTATACCTGAGTTTTTCAACAGATTCATTCCTGGGTGAGGCTCCAGTCCTGAGCATAGTGGTGATTGGGTTCTGGAGGTTTTGGTTGCTGGAGCTCTGTTTGGGCAGGTGGTGGGCTCACCCATCCCCCTCTGGGGTGCCCTTGATGAGACTCAGCCTGGCATGAGGTCTGGAGGATCTCTCAAAAGGAAATTATTCTGATTTTCATTCTCTCCTTTTGGGGCAGGTTTGGTTTTGGACCACACTTACCAATGCTCAGGGACTACTTGTGGCTTTGTGCTCAGATGTGGTACTAGGATGGAACAGGGGTCAGCCAAGTTCAATGCAAGCACCTTAGCACTTTGCCCCTTTACTATCTCTTTAGCCACATCTGGTGTGTTTTTTAGTTTTTTTTTTTAATATAATCACCATAAAATACAAAGTTACAAAGATATTTATGATTGAGTTTCAGGCCTACAATCTTCTAACACCAGTCCCTTCACCAGTGACCTCTACTCTCCACTAGTATCTCCAGTTTCCCTCCAGCCCCTAAACCTGTCTCTGTGACAAGCATATTTCCCCTCCATGATTTTCCTAGTGTTCCCTTCTATAACTTATTCCCCACCCCACAACCTTGCCCCAGTTTATTGGTTTTACATTCTCTACTGCCTTTATGCTATCAGTAGATCCTGGGGAATCTTCAGTGGGTTTTTTATTTTTGGCTTTTTGGGTCATACCCAGCAATGCATAGGGGTTACTCCTGGCTCTGTACTCAGGAATAACTCTTGGTGGTGCTCCAGGGACCATATCGGATACTAGGGATTGAGCACGGATTGGCCATGTGCCAGGCAAATGCCCTACCTGCTGTACTATTGCTCCAGGACCAACTTCAGTGTTTTATGATATAGTTTCACAACTTAAAAACATTTGAATAACATAATTGTTATTTTTCCTTTTTATAACTCAATGTAGACCATAGAGCAGTGTTTCCCAAAGTGGTGACACTGCCTTCTGAGGTGCTTGGATAAGACAGGGGGCAGTAGTGGCCTCTGGTGCAATTTGGAAGAGCTTTCTGTTTGTTAGCTTAAAGAAAAAAGATTTTTAGGAAGTGACTGAATAATTTTCTTTTTTTCTTAAAAGGGGATGGTTGGCCAAATAAATTTGGCAACCTCTACCATAGAGCAATTTGATTATTTTTCTTGTAAATAATTACTCCATTATATGCCTTTTTCCTTCTCTTTTCAGGCAATTTGACACCTCATTTGCAGAGTATCTTTTCTAAGAGTCCCGTTTTTGCTGGGGTGGCCCTTCCTCAAGTTCAACACCACAAAAATGCAAGAAAAAAGTACCCAAAACTAAATGGATTGTTAGCAGATATAGTTCATGTATGTTAAGAGATTACAGATATGGGCAAGGGGGGTTTATATAAATTGTCATATAGTTTTAGGTATTACTTTAATGAACTTCCAAAAGGACTCATAGTGCTATCTGATAAGAAGTATTATAGTCCTCTGTCTTTGTCTTTAATTCAGAGATACTAGAATTCATAGATAATTAGAACTGAAAACCTCTAGGATAATCCTGTCCACTATTTTCAGTTTATCTTAAATTTAATGATAAAAATAAGCTAGAAATATTCCAAGGACTTACTTAACATGTTTATTACTGCCTTCTAACAACTAAGTTAGAGATCTGTTGTTTAGGGTGTTTTGTTTACCTCTCCAGCAGTGCTCAGGGACACCAAGGGGCGACACCATGAAATATTTAACCTCACTATTCAAGCCTAATGGTTTGTGCTGGGACCCTGAGGTATGGGGGTCCACCACCGCCATACTTGGTGATACTTGTAGGGCCATGTGATGCTGGGAGTTCACCTCAGGGCCTTGAGGATAGAGGTCATAATCTTTAATTCTTTGAGTAATCCCCCTAGTCTCAGGGATCTGTTTCTTATGCAGTGGCATCCTAGGATATCTACAAGACTGTATTTTAATATCAAATACAAAATTTAATTTAATTCCAATGCTAAAATTCACCCTGAGTTGGAGAACAATTATAGTGCTTTTAATTATTTTATTTTTTGCATTTTAACTGTGGTACTATGATTTACAACCTGTTAATAATAGTTTCATGCATAGATTTTTCCAACACTGGGATGCCTACTTCCCTCCACCATTGCCCCATGTATCTCTTTCATCCACCCTCCCTAACCCTGTTAAGCTCCATTCTGTAGACCAACTTTACAGTTCTGTTGCCTTTGGCCATTTGTTGTTCCCTTAATGTGTATCTTTATATACTATAGATAATACAGATAATTTAAATTTCATTTAAAAATAGACAATAATTATGGTAATATACTTAGTATAAAATTCCAAAGGCAAGAGAGTTTACTACGCAGAATAAATTTTCTACATATTGTCCTTAACTAATTTCCTTTCCTAAAGCTACTTAAAGTATTCATTTTGGGGGGCAGAGGGCAACACCCAAAAATGCTACTCTCTGAGTTTAGTGCCGGAGGTTACTCTTAGCAATGCTGGGGACCATACAGTGCCAGGGATTTAACCCAGACCTCCTGCATGCTAAGCATGTGTGCCAGCCCTTTGAACTATCTCCGAGGCCCCCAGTGAAGGTATCATATATACAGTGCACAACTCTTTAAAAAAGTGGTTACCTAAATTTCAAAGCAGGTGCAGTATAGTACTTATAGGAATAACCTCTACTATCACATTGAAGTTTTAATTTATTATTAATATTATTTTACTTTTTGGGTCACACCTGGCGATGCTCAGGGGTTACTTCTGCCTCTGCACTCAGGAAGCACAACTTGCGGTGCTCAGGGGACCATATGGGATGCTGGGGACCGAGCCCCAGTCGGCTGTGTGCAAGGCAAGCACCCTACCCACTGTACTATCACTCCAGCCCCTGTATTTTTAATTTTTAAAAACTTATTCCAATTGTAAAGGGAAACAGTAATTATAGAAAAAGTAGAAAATTTATGATATTAAAAAGAAAAGTTAAAATGTTCCTAATTTGAGGCTGAAGAGACAATACAGTGTGTAGGACGTTTGCCTTGCATCGGGTTGACCCAGATTAGGTCCCCAGCACCCCACATGATCTCCTATGCCCTGCCCAGAATGATCCCTGAGCGAAGAGATGGGAGCACTGCTGGGTGTGGGCCCTCCAAAAATTACTATTAATGTTTTGGTTTCTATACTTTTAGACTCCTCCAACCAAATATCTGCATAAAAATTCATGCTTTTTTAGTATCACACTGGTACACTGCTGTTTATTTTCACTTGGTATATTTAAATATACCTGTGTTATTAAAGAGGCAGTCACATAATTTTGAACATTTATATCTAATGCAACATGATGGCAGAAGAGATAGCACAGCAAGTAAAGCATTTGCCTTGCATGTAGCTGACCCCTGGTTGGATTCATGGCACCACATAGGGTTCACTGAGCCAGGGGTAAGCCTTGAGTACAACAGGCGATAGTCCCAAAACAAAACAAAGCAAAACAAAAGTGGTCAATGCTATTTGAGTAATCTTAAGTAGCATTGGATGTTAATTCCTACTCTCAATCTAGCATCAGATATTGTAATTTTTAAAATGCCAATATTTGGGGGTTTCGGGGCCACACCCTGATATCCTCAGGGGTTATTCCTAGCATGGTGTTCAGGGGTTGCTCCTGGTGGTGTGTAGACCCATGCAGTGCCAGGGATTAAACCTGCGTCTCAAGCATGTGAGTCATGTTCACTAGCCCCTGGAGTTCTATCCCAGTACTCTCATTTTAAAATCTTTGCCAATTTTAAACTAGGAATAATATCTTTTTTTCTTTTACATATTTTGAGTGGTTAAATGTTTTCCTAATATTAATTGCTCATTTGTATTCTTTTTTCATATTTTGGCTTCATTTTTGGATCACACCCGGTTGTGCTCAGAGCTTACTCCTGGCCTGTAGGGGACCATGTTGCGTGCCAGGGATCAAACTCAAAGCAGGCCTGCTGTACTATCACTACAGCCTCATCATTTGTATTTCTTTTTTTTAATTTTTAATTTTTTATTTTTATTAGTGAGACATCATGAGGTACAGTTGTAGACTTACAAAATTTTGTGCTTGGGTTTCAATTATACAATGATCAAATACACATCCCTTCATTTGTATTTCTTATAAGAATCTTTTTTTTTAATTGAATCACCACGAGATACAGTTACAAAGCTTTCCTGTTTGAGTTTCAGTCATACAATGATCAACTACCCATCCCTCCACCAGTGCATATCTTCCACCACCAATGTCCCCAGTATCCTTCCCATCCCATTCCTGCCTCTATGGCAGACAATCTCCCCCATACTCTCTTTTGTATTGTTTGTTACCTGTAATTCTAAAAGTTTAGATAATTAGGGCCTGGAGAAATCTCTGCAGCAAGTTTTTGTGTGTCTCTGTATCATGGAGGTTAAGGAGCTTAAGTAGCAGCCAGATGAAGTTTATAGGCGTGACCTCCAGGGTCCCTTGGTGGGGGGCGGGGGCGGGATGAGAAGCACCGGTCCATCCCTTGAGTCCTGGAGTTTGCCATCACTGAACCCATGTACCTGCACTTCTCATTGGGTTCTGGAAGTTGGTGGCCCCTGGGGTTCTTAGGGGGCAGGGTAAGGGCATTGTCCAATGCCTGCTCCCGTCTGAGGCACCTCAGTGAAGTCGGCCTGGCTTAAAGTCCAAAGGCATCTCCGCAGCGAGCTGATCGGTCCAGAGATTCTTTTAGTGTCTCTTATAAGAATCTTAGTCTGGGCCAGAGAAATAGAAATAGCTCAGTGGCTGAGTATTTGCCTTTATGCTGGAGACTGGAATCTGCTCCCCCAAGACCAAATATGGGCCTTGAGCACTGCTAGAAGCAACTACTAAACAGTGCCAGCAGTAGCCCCTAGGCACCACCAGATATGGCCCCCAAACTAAAAAAAAAACCCTTAATCTATCAATTATAGTTGTTTCTCATATTTATTTGTCAAATAATATTAGTCATTTCTCATATTTATTTGTCAAATAATAAGTATATTAGTCTTTTCTGAATACCTCTTTCAACTTGAATAATCTGTTTATTTTGCCTGTCACATTTATCTTATACAGCTTGGATTTGTTCTATGTAAATGATTTCTCTTTTATTATAAGTATTATTTTATTGATTTTTTTAACTTAAAATACATATTAATATCTGGCTAAGAGGTGTATTTTCCCTAGATTTAAATTTTCCAAGCAACTTTAATATGGTAGAATCTATGCACAGTAAATTACACACTTTTATTTTGTTAATTTTTAATGTAAAGATACATGATTTACAAAATTATCAATAGATCTATAATATTCTAGCACCAATTCCACTACCAGTGCCAACTTCCGTCCAGCAGTGTTCCCGTTTCCTCCCCTCTTGACTCCCTACCAGCCTGTCACCTTAATAGGCACATTATAAAGTTTGGTAGTTATGGTTTGGATCTCATATTTCAGTGTTGTTGAGTCTGTGGTTTGTATCTATAGCTATACTAGTCCCACATTATACCAGTATACCCAAGGCCCCTGACCCTCGTCCCCCTTTCTCATATTCTTTCTTCTTGTCTTGTTTCTTTCCTTCTCTGTCCTTCTCTCTATTCTCTGGGGTATAGAGTAATCTAGGAAGCCCCCCTTTAAAACATTATATTCCAGGGTCTGGAGTGATAATATAGTGGGGAAGGCATTTGCCTTGCATGCAGCCAACCAGGGTTCAATCCCCAGCATCCCGTATGGTCTCCAAGCCTTGCCAGGAATGATTTCTGAGGGCAGAGCAGGAGTAAGCCGCCCTGAGTACCACTGGGTGTGGACCTGAACCAAAATAATAGTAATAATAATAAAACAAAACATTGCTTTTCCTTGTCCAGTTACTCTGTCTTAATGATCTCACAGATAAATTAGATCATTCTGTGTTTGTCCTTCTGGCTAACTTCGGTCAACATGGTATCTTCAGTTCATCCAGGTTGCAACAAATTGAATAATTTCATCATTTCTTCCATTATGTGTGTATATACCACATCTTCATAATCTGTTCATCTGTCTTTGGACACTAGGTTGATTCCATATCTTATTGTACAAAGTGCTGCAATGAATAATGATGTGCATATGTCCTTTCCAATGAATTTTTTTTGTCCTGGGAGTATATACCCAAAAGTGGAATTGCTGGATCATATGGCAGCTCAATTCTAAGTTTACTTGTGGACTCTATATACTGTTTTCCACAGGTTGTGAACAAAACAACATTTCTACCATCAGTATATGAGAGTTCCTTTTTCACCACATCTCTGCCAACACAAATTGTTTCCACTATTTTTATATGGTTACAAAAACGTTTAATGTATTTTTGATC